GGGTAATTACAACCACCCCCTCAATTATAAAATTTAGTGGAATCTTCTAGATTATATGGAATATTATCACTTTTGTACCCGTTTTATCCCATTCGAACTCCACATTTTGAAGCAAAATGATCATAATATGTATTTTTTGGCTTGTATATATCAGATTGAGATGCATCAGAAACTGTATTTTTACACAAAAATGAGTACAAAATAAAGCACATTCCATGAAATTCAGATAATTATGCTGATTTTGACACCATAAGGGTGGAGGTGTAAGAAAAAAAAATCATTGTTGAGGGGGTAGATGTAATTATCCAAACAAGAGGGGTTTTTCGTAAATTAATCATACCTCAGGGGGTTGGTTGTAATTTACCCTTATTTAAATGAGGTTGTAAAATTGCGTTTTGGCCCTAGAAATATTATTGATTTGTAGTTGGCACCTTAGTATTTTACAATTGGCGAAATCTACCTCGAATGATGTAATTCGTGTCGAAATGCACCCAGTTTCCATTTTTTTTTTGAACTAATTTGAAAGAAAAAACAATTTATTGTAGTATTTTAACTTTTGGATTGATTTTCTCTTTGGCTGTCCTTTCCTTTTTTTTTACATTGTTATAAAATATAGAATTTTCAAAAATTATTTGAACTTTTTAGTTGTTGATTTTTTTTTTTTTTGAAGAAGTTTAAATTTGCTATGAAAAAATATAGTTGAGATACTTGATAGAATCTTATTTTAAAAGGTAATTGGATACTTAAGCCGCGTTTGCTTAGTGTTATTAAGCATTGTTAACTAAATAGTAGGGATAAATAAGATGTTTGGTTGATAAGATTCGTGTTTAGTCAAGGCTATTACATTTAAAGTCCGCAATTAACTGTAATTATTTAGTTAAGTTAGTAGTACCCTCTCCCCTGCAATTAGGGGTGATTAAAAAAACAAAAAAAAAATTATGTTATCCTTAAAATAATTAATTAAAAGACTTTTTAGACAATTTATATTTAATATCAGAATTTTTATAACTTTAGTACAATATTTAGGTGGTGTTTGCAAATGCTTTTTGAAAGTGATTATGCGGTTTTTTTTGCTCATAATCTGTTTTTAGGTGTTTGCAAAATCAACTTTTGCTTTTGCTTCTCTTAAAATAATCTGCTTTAAGCTATTTTTTTTAAAAGCACCCCTAACCTGCTTTTTCAATGTTAGTTCATTTTCCGAAATATTTGCAAACACTCCCAACTTTTAGAAATAAGCACTTAAAACTAACTTAAATCACAATCACTAACTTATGCTTTTAAATAATTATTTGCAAACACCACCTTAATCTAAAGAATCAAATATCTTACCAACTAAATAATTAGTTAGTTAGTGGGAGTTTTGTATTTAATGCGATTGTTTTGAATTGTTTTTTTTAAATTGAAAGGGTAAAAAATTATGTATTTATATATATAAGCTTGATTTCAATTCAAAAGTTTAATAAAACAAAATTATTAGTTATTCTTTTTATTTGTTATAAAATTAATAAATTAAGAGTATCAAATAAGAAATGAAAAATGCCTTGAAGATTGAAAATCACTTTAAATTAGATGTGAGGTGTATGTTGCACGAGATATATATTTTGACGGTGAACTTTGCAAATATTTAAGATTTTAGGGTGTAAATCATCAATAGTGTAATTTTGTGGAGCAAAACGTAATTCAGCCTCTAAATACTCTGTTTTGGCCTTTGGGTGCTTCGATGATGATAATGTTAATGTAAAGTTGTTTCTGAAAATGGGCATGTTGTGGGGTCCACTGGATGAGCCAATGCGATCTAATAAATTTGACTTTAATTTGATTGATCGTTGACTTTATCTAAACACAGTCTTAAGTTTTCTTTTTCTTTTTTTCTTTTTTTTTTTTTTTTG